GAAATATTGGGATTTATGTTCTTCCACAATTCATATGGAGTCTTATCCAGAATAGGTCTTATAGAGATTTTATTCCGAATGTAATATGCTGTGTTAATTTCTTCTGCCCAGAAGATCTTAGCAATGTTAGTGTCATTGATCATGGTTCTGGCCATTTCTTGTAATGTTCTGTTCTTTCGTTCTACAACTCCATTTTTTGGGGAGTTCCAGGACAAGAGAAATCATGAGAAATTCCATTTTCATTAAAAAATATTTCAAATTTTTTGTTTTCAAATTCTCCACCATGATCACTTCTGACTTTGACAATTCTAAGCTCTTTCTCATTCTGAACTTGGTTACAGAAAGCAACAAACACATAATGTGACTCGTCCTTGTGTCTTAAGAACTTTACCCATGTCCATCTGCTATAGTCATCTACAATCACTAACCCATACTTCTTGCCACTAACAGACGCAATTTTCACTGGTCCAAATAGATCTATGTGTAGAGGTTCTAATGGCCTAGAGGTAGAAACAACTTTTTTTGCTTTAAAAGGAGGTTTTGCAAATTTTCCTTTCTGACATGCTTCACACAGAGCATCTGAGACGAACTTCAGATTAGGAAGTCCTCTGACCAGATTGAGTTTGTTAATATGAGATATTCTTCTCATACTAACATGCCCCAATCTTCTGTGCTAGACCCATTGCTCGTTATTAACAAAAAGAAGGCATTTTACATTCTGACTCTTCCGTTCAGAAAGTAGTTTTATCTTATAAATGTTGTTTTTCCTCTTTCCATTAAACAGGATAGTTCCATCTTTCTGAGTAACAACTTTGCATGAATTTTGATTAAAGATTATATCATAACCGTTACACTTAATTGACTTATGGATAATAGATTATGCATTAATCCATCTACTAATAGAACATTATTAATAGAAGGGATATTATCGTTACCTACTATTCCAGAGCCAATGATCTTCCCTCTTTGATTTCCTCCAAAACCCACGTAGCCTCCAGGCTTAAGTTCCAGACTTTAGAACATATGCTTTCTTCCCATCATGTGTTGAGAGCATCCAGAGTCTAGGTACCATGACTGGTATTTTAGTCTTGCTGCTAAAGATATCTGCTACATATATAATTTTGTCCTTAGGTACCCATATCTTTTTGGGTCCTTGTTTGTTAGTTTTACCAAATCTTGTTTGACCTTTGGTTTGGCAGAATAATCATTACTGGTGTATCTCAGATCATGTGTGTGCCCATAGGTGAAGTGAGATTTTAATGGTGTGCGTTTAATGACTAAGTCCATGACTTTCTTAGGTTGAGATACCTTGCCTTGGTATCCTATACCTTTTCTGCCATTTCTGCTAACTCCATAGATCATTGAAGCCATCTTGCTTCTATCTATGTTTTTAGCCAGAAACTTTTGAAAGCTTTGATCATATTCCTTTATGATCTTATCAGCATTACTGGGATCCTCTGAGATTATTTCCTTCTGAGAGTTTTGTAAATCATTTTATAGTTTTGAAATCTTTTCTTTTAACTCAGAATTTTCTAATCTCAGACTCTCAGTTTCTTTAGAGTCAGAAATAAGATCCTTTTTCAGGTTCATGAATTTGACTCGAAGCTGCTGATATCTTTCCAGAATTTCACTCAGACTTTCTCCTAGTTTAGATTTAGTAAAATTAACAGTAAAGTCAGGAAATACCTCTTCTGTGACTGATTCTGATTCTGACCCAGATGCTTCACTGTCTTTTGTCACATTTGCCATAAGAGAAATGTTGGCTCTTTCATCATCTGACTCTGTGTCTGCGTCAGAAGTATCTGAGTCATCCCATATTACCATGAGACTTTTCTTCTTCTCCTTGAAGAACTTCTTTTTGGGTTTCTCCTTATGAAGCCTTGGACAATCGCTTTTGTAGTGCCCCTGTTCATTACACTCATAGAAGATGATGTCCCTGTTGCTTGACATTCTGTGACCAGAAGAAGATTCAGACTTTCTGTGTCCAAAGGAGGGTTCAGACTTTCTGTATCCAGAGGAGGATTCAGACTTTTTGTATCCAGAGGGAGATTCATTCTGATTAACTATTCTTCTGGATTTTCTGAATTTTCTTTGCCTCTGTTTCCACAGCTGATTGAATCATATGGAGAGAAGAGACAATCCGTCTTCTTCTGATGAGGATCCATCAGAGGTTTCTTCCATAGCCTGCAAAACTTTAGAATCAAATTTTTTGTTATATTTTAACGCTAAAGGCTTGCCTTGCTTCTGAGGCTCGTCATCTTCTAACTCTATTCCATGACTTCTGAGTGAGCTGACAAGTTCCTCCAGAGATATCTTGTTGAGATATTTTTCCAGCTTGAGAGCAGTGACCATTGGCCTCCATTGCTTCGGTAAACTTCTGAGGATCTTCTTTACATGATCAACAGTAGAATACCCTTTGTCAAGAACTCTCATCCCAACAACTAGAATCTGGAATATTGAGAACATTGCTTCAATGGATTCACTTTCTTCCATCTTGAAGGCTTCGTATTTCTGAGTGAGCGCAAGGGCCTTGGTTTCTTTAACTTGTATGTTGCCTTCACGCGTCATTCTCAGAGAGTCAAACATGTTTTTAGATGTCTCTCTGTTTCAGATCTTCTCATACTCTGAATATGAGATGGCACTAAGAAGAATCGTTCTGGCCTTGTGATGGTTTTTGAAGTCACGCTTTTGCTGGTCAGACATTCTTTTTCTATCAATCTTCTGACCACTTTCATCCACAGGATGCATGTATCCATCAATTACCATATCCCATAAATCAGCATCATGAGCCAGAAAGAAGCTCTCAATTCTGTCTTTCCAGTAGTCAAAGTTTTCTCCATCAAAGACTGGAGGATTGCTGTTGATTCTTTCCTTATCATCATGATAGTCATTACTGATGTTCTGACTTGGTCCCACCATAGTGTTTTTCTAAGATTGGATCTTGTATTGACACAGTTAAGTGTATGAACTCATAACCAGGAGATCTGATGCCAATTGAAGAAGTGAAAAACACAAGAAGAGGGGTTGAATTGAAACTTAAAAATCAAAAGCAAATGACACGATGATTTTTATCCTGGTTCACTTGATCTCAAACTACTCCAGTCCACCCGCCAAGGTGATTTCGCCTCTCTCCAATGAGGTCTTAATTCACTAATCAAACTGATTACAATTCTACTTTGACAACTGCCAAAGTCTTATTGAGTACAACCACAACCCAATTTATCTCAAGGAAATTCACTAACAAAGATAAGAATAAATTTGTGTACTAGTTATTTTTCGTTACAAAAACTGTATCACAAACTTGTGATGTATTACACAATTTTATAGAATA